TAGTTGTTTCTAACACAAGACAAACATGGAAGATTCGCTTTCAACCGTTGTAACAGTGCCCATTTGACGCAACCAGTGTGTTCCCCTGAACATGGAACTGCAAAAAAGTTTTGGGTCGATAATTCTCAAAAACTTTTTTTTATTTCTTGTAAGCCATATATTGTCCAACAAATGGTAGCACCTCCTAATAATGGCAAGGTATTGTTTGATTTGTCCCCTGTTTGTACCATCCATGAAAAAAAAGATCAAGAATATTTAAGGGAGGTTGTAGACCCGGACCAAGTAAATGGTTTGCCAAAGGAATTTAGCATAAGTACAGTAAAAAAAGAGGTGTCTAATTGTTTCATCTCTGCAACAAAACACATATGATTTGTTCCTGCTCCAATTCTTTCTTGCTAAGTTATGTTTGGTTAAAATCACTCCTCTCTTTAGCAACCACAAATTTTTAAGTTTTAATGACATCGTTAAATGCCAGATTTGTTGTGAGACGATGATGACCATACTGATAAGGTGTGTACATATGGAATTTAATGTGAAGGAACCATATTTTTGAAAAGCAAAAAAAGTGTCCCTTTCAACTTGTAAACCAATGTTTGCAATTCGTGCTACCAAATTATTCCACTCTAACACCTTATTTCTTATTAACGTTGGGCCTGAAGAAAACATTAAGAGAAATAATACTAAGAGTTGAAGTTGTTATTGTAGCTTGTTTTCGTCGAACAATATTATAAAGTTTTTGATATTGTGCTTTTTTAGGATGTTTCCTCAATCGGATATCTTGTCAAAACCTAATATAATTTGAGGACGATCATCATCCGGTTTAAATCTTGAACACCTATACTAATCATACTGCATCTTTTTTACTTGGCAATGAAAAACAACTGAAAAGATCTAGAGGCGTACATATGCTGCATCTTTTCGATCATTTTAATTTGCACAGCTACTGTACATATGCTGCGAAGTGCGAAGGCAAGGGGAGTGCACTTTGTTGAACCTTATGCGCGCGCATGAGAGTATACGTTGGCAGTTTTTTTTTTTTTTGAGAACACTATACGTTGGCAGTTGAGTGTTGAGACAAAAAAAACAAAACAAAGAAAGAACATCATTCTTACCACCGCTAGCTATCCGTCGTCATAAATCAAGGCCCCCGGCCCGTTTCGTTCCCGCCACTCCACTACTACTCCAGTCCCGGTCCATGGATCGGTGATGCTCTCTTTTCTACCCTGAGTCGCCCACGCCTTCCTCGCCTCGACGCTGCGCTTCGTCATGCATGCCGCATACACTGCCCTCCGCTCTTTGCATTGCATCATCACGTACGCACGCATGCACCGTCATTGCATGCACCTAGCTACTCGAAACCACGAGACAGCATAATAAGCAAGCCAGTAGGTGCCACCTTGTCCCCCTCTGCTAGCTAGCTATCTAGCCCATTGTTGACAACTGGGCTCTGTTGACCAGATGATTAGATCGATCCTCCTAATTAACGCAAAAGAAAAGAAAAGGAAAGAAGATACATCCTTGTCGTCAGCACTAATAAGCTAGACTAACCTTCGCAATCAAATAAAATCTTGGAGCTAATACACTTGTAACGTGCCATCGATTCGCCGTCGTTGATGGTTTGGCTTGGTATATATGTCCGTCGTGTAGCTATCTTGAAATTGACTTGCCTGTGCAGGTGATCTTCGTCGTAGCTTCCATTATCGTGTTGCGTGTGCAGTTAGACGACCAGGACTTGGAGTCCACGAGTCGTCGTCTATCCAGAATCCAGTGACGCCGCATGAATGAATACAGTATATATAGTACCCCCATGGGTAAGGTAAGGCAATTAAACAATCTCAGGCGGCCGGTATGTTTGGTACGTACGCAAGCTATGTATCGCGGCGACGGCGACTCATCACGAACCTAACGCCGCCAGTTCATGACGATCACGGATTTCGCTTGATTATTAATTATTTTCTCAGTAGAAGCTGAGGAACTACGTACTGATGACTCCATGGGCCATTGGCCCATGCCAAGTCATGCACGCACCAGCGTACAGGACACTGCACGTGCTAATTCGTGACAGCGACATAGGGCCGTCCCACAAATTTCACGGGCCCTTGGGCCAGTAAGACACTAAGGGATGTCCGTGCTCGCGCTCGCGCCTGGCCCTAGCACTCCGACACCGTCACGCAGTCCGCAAACACGCACTCACGTTCAAGAATGAGAATACGAGCGGCCGCCGCCAATTGGTACGCAGGCCTGTTGATACGCATTGTTGCCTTGCCGGCGTATGGGCTGATAGCATCTACTATACAGTATACACATAGGTACCCTCATGGGCCCATTGGCATCGCACAGGCTGCCCCCGCCCCCTAGGACGGGCCTGCAATGTAGGACATCTTATGTCCATAACTACAACAGGCCATGGCAATATGGCAGTGACAACCTCCAAACAGAGATCGAGACTTTTTTTTTTCTTTCACCACTACGAAAAGGATTCGTAGCAACGTCTTTTTTTTAAGGAGCGGCTCTATATTGAGTATCCAAACGAACTGTCCGTACAAATCTATCTCTATAGGTAACTATGCGTCTTCGTCTAGTTGCAAGACGTACAATAGTATACTTGAATTGTACTATGCACTTACAGGTTAATACAGCGTAGCAGTAACTACATTGCACTGCTGAATGACGACTGTATACTGTGCGCCCCGTGTATATAGATACCGGCTCAGTACACGTACCAGATCTGGCATGAATGTTAGCGTACGAACGAAGTAGAGTAGGGCCTGGCCAAGCAAGTCTTTCGGTCCTCTCCCAGCTGCGAAGTGCTGTACGTAGCGCATACAGTAGAGCAAGCCAAGCGGTGCATCAATGCGTGGCAGAAAGCTAGGACCGGCCAGTACGGTGCGTGCGCAAGAGCGGCAGCATATGTGTTGTTTACAGCTAGCGAGCGTCTACGTGATCCGTGCAGGCAGACACCGTGGATCTACGTGCATCAATGCACGCAGCGCCCCGTCCGCCCCGCCCCCTACTGGCCCCTGCTGCAGACGCATAGCTGCGGCTGCCTACACCACCGTACCACCGGCCGATGGAAACTAGCATCTTTAGATAAGGAAGGATCAGTGACGGAGATCTAAGGTTTCAATCGAGAGGGCTAGCTCCTTATTTGTCAGCCCCATGGAATGGTAAGGGGGTATTCATGTGGGCGTAAGGTAGGGCCGGTCGCTTACTTGCTTTAGGCACGATTATATATATATATATATATATATGGCCCTTTAGATCTCTATTACCTTCATCTGTTGAAAGAAAGACTATAGAGAAGAGCTCGCCGGTACATTCAACTTTTTAGTCTAAAATTCGCTCGCACGGAAGGTTAAATCGAGGACCTAAGGATTGTTTTAGAACCATCAGGCCGTCAACCGATATTTGGGATTTGCTCCTAGCTAGTCCTTGAGGTTGCCTAATAACTTGTCTGTTGAATGTTGAAATGCCCGGGGAAGGTGGGTTGTCCGATCTTGGTGAGGCCTCCTAGCTAGGATTTAGCTCCTTGGCAATTGGATCCACCACAAAAGGATCCACTTTTCTGATGGATTGAAGCTTCCCCCGAGCATACCTGCAACCAAATATTTAACACAAATTATGGAACTTTATTGTTTTAATAAAACAATTTGAGCATATGATTCACTATATGCACTATCATTTCCAAGAAATTGGCGATCAAGGTAGGATTCAACGACAGTCGACACCCTTACAGACGAAGGTGATGAAGGGTGCAATCTTGGGGTCACTCAAACTTGATTTCTTGCCTCGCAATGCCATTGTACCTTGATTTTTCTAAAGATTAGAGGATTTTAATGCCTTCTTGCCTGGAGAAATTCGGTATACAAAAGGATGCCATGAGCCCATGTCTCGATCTTTTTATTTTTGCTCCCCTGTTTGTTTTAGAGAGCCCTCAAACATAAAGATGGAGAGAATAGATAGAAAACTGTTGGAGTTTCCATACAAAGTTGTGAGGTTTTGGTAATAGTCAATTAGATCCATCTTGTAACCTACATATGCAAATAGAGTAGATTTTTTTAGAAAGTTCTGACAGTTGTTAAATCCTTCGTTAGAAAAAGTTAGGCAACATCTCATTCAAACTACTAGGTAACATTTTCAACTATAAGTTTTTTTTTTCAAAATTGTTGGGCAACATTTCAACCACTGTTTTTTTTGAAAATTGTCGGACAACACTCTCCACAGTTGTTTAATTATTTCTTCAAAATTATTGGCAGTATTTTGAACCACTGTTTAGGTCTTTTTATAAAAAATTCCATGCAACATTTGGACTAACTTCGTCAAATACAACACCAACATTTTTTGGTAAACACATATCCTAATCTAGACATGGAGGCAGAATAGCATATCCTGCATAGGCACGCAGCAGTAACACTCCATATGGAGAATATGGGGTGGTCCCTTCATCCCCAAAAGAGTATAGCTTTAGATTTCGTGTAGGTCAAACTTTCTTAAATTTGACCAGATTTATAGAAACAACAACATTTGTATCTCCAAATAAGTTTATTATAAAAAAATATTTAATGATTAATCTAATAATATCTATTATGTACCATACATGTTAATAATTTATTGTATATATTTCATAAAAGTAAAAAATATTTGACCTCGTGACACTTTTTGTGACATGGAGAGGGTAGTATAAAAGAAAACTTGCATCGTTCCAGGCCCATTGTTCTACGGAGCACCATCAGACATCACATCAGGCCCATTATTCCAGCAGGCCAGCACCAACCTTAATGTCGGGCCGAACCAAACGAAATCTATGGGAAGATAAGCCCCTGCAAATCCTTAAGATTACAGCCCATTTCGAGATAAGGGCCCAAAAAGAAACTATGGAAGTATCGAGAAGGAATCCATCCTCGTGCAAAAGCAGATAAGGGAGCGACGCAACGCAACGCAACTATCCCCAAGGGAAGAAACCTTCGTCCTTCACGCCCCCTCCCATTGTCTTCACTCCAATGGCGCCCTCCCTCCTCGCCGCCGTGTCTGCCTCGCCCTTCCTCCTAGCCGGCAGCGGCAGCAGCCGCAGGCCGCTAGGCCCTGCCCCCACCCGCCGGGCCGGACTGCGCGTGGCCGCGCTTAAGTACGACCCTGCCAAGGTGGGTGGGCTCGCTGCTGTGATCATGCGCTCTGGTTTCGAGTCTTCAAGGTCTTTCGGGTGGAATTCGTGGTATAAGTCTAACGGTGTGGTGCTTGTTTTTTGGGGGGCAGGTGGCGCCGCAGAACGACCGGTTGCTCGTCCGTCTCCAGCAGATCCCTGAGGTATCTCCGCTATCAATCGTGTCTCTTTACCGCTCCTATTTTGTTTTATTTAGATTGCTAATTGTTGGTTTGCTGCTCTCACTTCAACACTTCAAGTGGAATAAATCCTTAGGTGTTCTTGTTTCAGTTTGCAAAGTAAGCACTCAGTGTAGGAACCATTGTATATCAGAAAATGCAGGGCTTGCTAATTTAAACTTCAGGAATTTCCATTATAAGTTGCGATGACAGAGACGTTAAATCTTTTGCCCCTTCTCAACTATTGTTGAACTTGACGAGACACATGAAGTTCAGTACTAAGGTGGCTTATTGCAGAGTAAAAGGGTCAGGGCTTGTTGGATAAACCTATTCCCGATGTGGGTTGGACTGGATTGGGAGGTGTTGAAGGGAAAATTAGTTCATTTCCCTCTCCAATCTGTATTGGGAGGGAATGGGTATGTTCAAACAAGCCTAACCACGGTAAATGTATACCCTAAAGCCTTGTTTGGCTGTGCTCATATCGACCTCAATCCACATGTATTAGTGTGGATTGGAGTGAAAGATTAACTAATTTCTACCCCAATCCACTCCAATACACATGGATTGAGATGGATACGAGTGTAGCCAAACAAGCCCTAAGTGCGGTAGTTACTCTGACTTTGAGAGCAACTCCCATCACTTGGGTTTTGAAATGTCTTAGGGAAGTCCGAGTTTATTTAAAAAGCGGTATAATTGATTCACTCAAGCTAACACACATGCATTTCCCCAACTATAATTACAGTATTCTGTTTACTGCACCACATAGAGATATTGCAGTACTCCTTATCAATAGGTGTGGTTAGTTAGCAGGGCCCTGTCATTTAAAAATTTTAGAAGCAACTGCTGCACGCATCCTTTTCTATACCTGAATTACTGTACAATCCTGTGAAACTGTATTACAGGAGTGCACATGTATCTGCTGAAGTTTTAGAAGTTGATACTTCTGTATAGTTGTTTATTCTGACAAAACTGTTTTCTTCGTGCAGAAATCTGCTGGTGGTATATTGCTACCGAAATCTGCTGTTAAGTTTGAGAGATATTTGATGGGTGAGGTGAGATCTTAAAGGCACTACTATCTGTTTCTGGAATTGTTAATTTTTCAGGATATAGTCTCACCACAATGTATTGTTCATGCTAGATTCTATCGGTCGGTGCTGATGTTAGTGAAGTTGAGGCTGGAAAAAAGGTAAGCAACATTTTGTGACTTACTCTTATTGACGCATGCCCAAATGCTCACTGGTGCCAACAAGAAGCATTTTGTGCTTTGCATGTGAAGTTTGTTTATACTTTAGAGAACAATCTATCATATTTACTTGAGTAGATTGACTGAACAATCTAGCTGTACTGTAATTATTTAAATGAATGGACTATGGTTACTTGAGTAGATTGAAGAGTGGTTATGTTTCTGAAACAAATACATTGTGCTAATTTGTAAGCTGCTACCATTATGACATTGTCTGCTATGAAATCTGCCTGTCATGCTGAAAATAGACATGCTTTATTTTTGTTTTCTATCCTTGTCTATTTTGCCCTGCAATGGATATTGTTATTGTCTCAATTCTTACAGTTTGCATAGCCCGTCGAATGTACTTTTACCGAAGTACAATGCTCATAATTTAGAATACTCTAACCAGTTTGCACTTGCAGGTTCTCTTCTCAGACATCAATGCTTATGAGGTAACTGACTGATTTCTTATTAATGATTTTCTTTCTTTCTTTTTTGGCCTTGTCCTGTGCCTTACATTTTTTTATTCAATCAACTTAGCTGACTTAGCTCACTGTGTTGTAGGTGGACCTTGGTACCGATGAGAAGCACTGCTTCTGCCGTGAGTCAGATTTGTTAGCTGTAGTTGAATGAATTTTACCATGAAAATTTCGGACTTACCTTCCAATGCTCCAACTGCTTGGACTTATCTTGCCCCTACTTTGTTGTATGCCATTTGGATGTTCGTGAATTCAGCTTCTAGATGAGTTTTAGTTACCATTAAATTTTGGCCGCTATAAACTGGAATTATGTTAATGCCCCTTTTCTTTATAGCACGCTCTCATAAAGTGCTCAGATATGGATATGAAGTTGCGTGAACCGAACTTGAAAGTTGAAATGGTTACATTGTTCATCTGGTGTTTGTGCTTCTGAACATTCTTTAAGCAATATCGTAAATAAATACTTCAACTAGGAACTGCAGGTTTTATTGTGCTGACTAGTCTCATTCGATTGGTTTGAAATTTATTGTGTTGTGTTCGTCGTCCCCATTGCTCAGCCAGAGTTTATTCAGTGCCTGTCCAACACCATGGACTCTCATGTATATACCGATTACGGAGTATATCAGGAAAAAGAGGGCCACAGTTCGGAACCTCGGACATGTGATCAGTTATGATGAGGAAAACAAAAACAAACAGTTTGTTCATTACTACTCAAAGGAGCTTGGTCATACAAATGGTACATTCATCCATCGTATACGTATGTTATTACAAAAAAATGGTGAAATTAAAAAAAAAGGAATGGATTGAAAATCTTACAAAGTTGATCAAACCAAAAGGAGGAAATACCAAGAAGCAGTAGCAGGCATTTCGGTTCATCAAAGCAAGAGGAAATTAAGTAAACGGATTAATAAATAGAGAAGAAGAGCCGACAGTGGAGGTACGGGTGTTCTGGTCAGTTGAACCTGCTGCAGGTTCTTGTAGTAGTGGTTCTCCACCTTGAGCGCGCTCCACTGATCGTCCAGGAACACGGCGTTGCCGTCCGACGAGGACACGTTGGGACACACCCACTTCTTGTACACGGACGCGGTGGCCGGGTCCATGCCTGGGTCGGTCGCGCCGGGTTTGCCGCCGTACCCGTACAGCCTGCTGCTCTTGATGGCGATGCAGCGCCACTGTTTCGATCGCGTTCATCCCCAGCCTGGCGTAGTAGGCGACCGCCTGCACCGCCGTGTAGTCCGGCGCCGGGAGCCTGACGTCGGAGGCTCGAGACTGCCGGCGGTCCCTGCGCCCCGTGCGCACCGCGTACGCCGGTCCCCCGGCCTGCGCGACCGCGTCCCTGGTGGCGAGGATCTGGATGTCGGAGCAGGACACCACGCCGGGGCACCTCCCCTCCAGCGCCGTTTTGATGGCTGCGATGAGATCGTAGCCTTTGACGCTCAGGTTGGGTGCCGCCGTCTTCTCCGTGCCGGGGCCGTCGATCAGCAGACCACCATCGCATCCCTGCAATCTCAACCAGTTGGGGCATACGTTAACCACCGTAAGTACACGTACTTTTTTTTAGGTACTTGTGATCACGCACAGACGCACGGCACGTGCATGGTCCGATCAGCTAATCTATATACGTACATTGTCGGCGCACTCGTGGAACTGCATGCGGAGGAGGTAGGCAACGATGGGGGCGTCGCGCGCGAAGCGGGCCTTCACGATGCCCTGCACCACCGCCTCCATGTCGCTGCGTTGCACTTGCCTTTGTAGAACCCGTACTGCAGCTGTGCGCTGCCACCAGCGGCGAGCGCCAGCATCGCCGTTAGAGCCGCCGCACTGAAGCGCGCTGCTGGAGAGGCCATTATTGTCTCTTCGCCACTATACTGGCACAAGGTACGTACTGCTTTTGGCCTCTCTTAGATGCTCACTCAGATCAGGGCGGTGAGGTGAGATGCAAATGGCGAATGCCCAGGCCCATTTAATTTATAGGTGATCGGGAGATGATACCGGAGTACGTAATCGAGGTCAGTTGTTGTTGTTTACTAGTCATCCGTCATGGAGATCACGTATACGCAATATGTTGATTGAACAGTATGAATGGACCAGCTAGATTGGTTCCATGTTGATTTGCACTGCTAAACTCACCCACTACATCGTTGTTCAGTAACACAGCTAGCACAGCACTCAGATTTTTTTTAGAAAGGACGGCAAAAGTTTATCAGACGGTAGAAAAAGAAAAAAAGAGATTTACAAAATATTTACAACCCGACCACTATTGGGAACTCTACTTCAACCAAACTGGAAACTACTAGCAGTGCCGAAAAAAGAAGCCAAGAAAGAAACACTGAGCGCCAGGGCTTCCGGCCTTGGAAAAAGAAAAAACATACACGGCACACCGTGACTCGGCCACAGGAGGTATACTACTCAGAGGCTGCAGCCGTCGCTGGTGCCATGTCCATATTGCAAATTGCATAATGTCCTGTTTGCAGAGGACGGCAACTTGATGAGGACTAAGCACTTTTTGCTGAAATTATCTTCTATTTATCTCCTTCTATATATTCCATCAAAAATAGATGAAGATCCCGTCCACCATTCGCCTCTGGTTTTTATCAAACTTGCGTCTACATCTCCACCAATACGCATGCAACGAGCCTGAAAAGTTTATCGTTTATATTGCTGATAATTGAAACCACTGCTTCAAGATCTCCCATACTTCCTTCATGAAGGGCAATCCTTCAGCCTGTTCGGCTGGTGCTGATAAAATCGTGGATTATTACTGCTGGCTGGTTTGGTGTGAGAAAAAATATTATTCTGGCTTATAATCCACTATCATTTACACCCAGCAAATAGGCTGCTTGCACAGATGCACCCGCGTTTCCAATTCATTTCCACACAACCTGCAGTCTGTATCATCTGTCCACCCCCGCTTCATCAAATTATTTGTTGTTAGGATCCTCTTATGCAGCGATGTCCATTGCGAATAAATGATATTTGTGCTCTGCTTTGGCCCTCCAGACGGCTGAGATTTTAATTCTAGAAAAAACTCCGACAAACTAAATTTGATATGCACTCTTGGCGGAGTACTCCCCATCCTGTGTCCATCTCCATATCTTAGTTCGTCCTCTACTATCTCATTGAGCTGCACCGAATTAGTAGCCTCCCAGAGGTTGATGAACTCCTATACCTCATCAGCTGATGTTGGCGGGAAGATGTGGTCTATCCATTTCCGGTTCGTCATCCCTTGCTGGACCGTGATCTTCTTTCTTTTTGCCTTCGTGTATAGCTTTGGCGCAATCGACTTTGCCGTTGTTCCATTTATCCAGCTCGAAGACCAGAATAGGGCTTTTTCCCCATTTCCTATAGTCACCACGGTCGAAGCATTGAACAGGTCCCGGTCCGCTTCTGTCACAGGGCACATCCAAATTTGCCCACGCTCTTTCCGGTTGTTTCCATTTGTACCATAACCAGCGCAATCTGAGCGCTCTCGTGAATCTCTCCAAGTCAAGTATACCTAATCCTCCTTTGTTCTTGGGTAAGCAAGTGGTGGGCCAGTTAATCAGCGAGTGTCCCCCACAGACTTTGTCCGGTGTCTCTCCTCGCCATACAAAACTTCGAAGAATCTGATCAATCTTTTTTAGCAGCCCCTTGTCAGGTGATAGATTGGTAGAGACGATAGCACTGTTTTCACCGAAGCCCTCTCTTCCTGAAGAAGACAGAAATTTGCCTTTCTATCCTTGCAATCTGGCGCCGATTTTGTCGATCAACAGTTCACGGTTGGACTTCAATTTTTTTTAGCTTCCTTGTGTGCAGTGGCAACCCCAGATATTTGCCTGGAAAGGTATTTATTTTTCCGGGGAAATTTCGAATGATGTGGTCAATCATGTTAGGCTCTAGTCTTACAGGGTAAATTTCTGTTTGGCAATTAATCAGGTGCAAACCAACCGATCTATATAAACTTAAAAACTATCGATCAGGACCACTAGATGCTGATCCAATGGATGATGCGAGAGGTGTGATTTTTTTGCGTTTAAGCCCTCCATTCGTTGGCCTTTTTTTTTTGCGCTTAAGCCCTTTTATCCCATCCATTGGATCAGCATCTAGTGGTCTTGATCGGTAGATTCTAAGTTTGCACAAGTTGTTTGTTTTGCACCTGATATGTTGCATGCCTGTTTTGCTCATATTAACTTGCATGCCGGAGCACTCCCCAAAGAACTGTAGGATTTCTCGTAAGTTGGACAACTCGGCTGGTGAAGGATATGCAAACAGTGCAGCGTTATCCGCGTAAAAAGGAGCATCTCAGGTTCGCGGCCTTAGGAAGAACGAGTTAAAGCAGACCATTTTTGTGCTGCGCGGTCTATTATTCTTTGTAGTGGATCAACGGCGAGGATAAATAGTAACGGTGATAATGGATCTCCGCCTGAGGCCCCTCACGTGTGCTATATTGCGACTTGGTGCACCATTTACCAGAATTTTGGAGGATGATCTAAGTAGGTCCGATATCCAATCGCGCCATTTGATACTAAAACCCAGCGCAGCGAACACCTCCAATAGATACTGCCATCCCACCCACCGAATCGAAAGCCTTGGATACCAACTTGATGAATAGGGCCGGTTGTTTTTTCTTATGAAGTAGATGGATTACCATCTATACATATAGGAAGTTGTCACGTATACATTTCCTTTGATGAACGCATTCTGCGCATGGGAGACTAGTTCATTCATGTGTGGTGCCAAACGGCTCGCCAAAATTTTTGTGATCACTTTGGTGAGGCTGTTAATTAGGCTAATTAGCCTATAATCCGATATGGTCGTCGGGTCTTGTTTTTTAGGAATCAGGACTATGTTTGCTTCATTGAACAGGTGCATCTTTGATGTCTTATGATTGTAGAATCCCATCAATGCCTCAATTAGATAACCCTTGATTATTATGTCCCAGCGTTTCTTGTAGAAAAGGCCAATATATCCGTCCGGTCCAGGAGCTTTTTCTTCTGAGAGCAAGACCAACGCAGGCTGTTCGGATAAATTAAAAAAAAACGCAGGCTGTTCAGTGTAGTGGTCTCAGTGAAAAGATTCTCCATGCACCTGTTTGGTACATCTTATAAACTGTTTATGGCCAAAATAAGCTGAAATTAATAGATAAACATTATATTTTTCAGCAACTTATTCTAA